GCTGCCTGGCCTGCTGTGTTCCTCCAGCTCTACATTTGTTATCTCTGACTCCAGCATTGGCAGTTCTTACTATCTCTGAATCAGTATATCTGTTTCTGTTTATCACAGTACTGAAGTGGTGAAGTGTTGAAATGTTTCCTTTCTCCTCTCTTAAGCCTGAGTGAAAGCCACTGCCCTTTCCTTCACAAATATGAGCCAGAAGGTCCTCAGTGTGATTCCCAATGCATGCTGATCTAGCTAAGCACACTGGGGCAAAAGTTTGGGCACAAGAATTGGCCCCAATACCTCGGGATAAAGAGCAGTAAAATTAGCCAAGGTTCCTGTACCTAGTGGCTATACAACAAATCCCTCAATAAGTATCATGTGACTAAGTATGGAATCAGCAGGCAAGAAAGGAACTATAAGTTGTGCATCCCAATTTTCAGTGCACCACCACACTTATATCCTGGGTACTGAAATAAAACCATGCTCCACAAAATGATTTTGGCAGGATATCTGGAAATAGTTTGATTCTACTAAATAGACCACAAAGCATAATGAAAGGAAAATACAAAAGAAGTAAAACATTTACAGGGGTGCAACAACAATGTTGCCATCATGAAATCCTAAACAATATGAAAACACCTAAATGGAAATCAGCTCCACAAAGTTTTTTTAAACGATAATATATAAATAACTACTTATTCTTGAACTATTTAGACTTAAATTCATCTGTGAAGGTGTGAGATATAACTGCCTAGTTATATTATTGTTTCACCACAGATATATCAACTAAGACTTTGTTGTTTAATCATGTCAGAACTTGCTAACACGCTCAGCAGCTCCTCAAAACTAAAATCAATCATTACAGTGATTGCCATTTCATCCTGAATTATGAATATGGATTATTTTTCTGACCCAGCAGCACAATGATGTCTCAAAAAGAATTAACAGAAGGAAGATAAATTGGACATCTACTGCCACATGCAGCAGTTTCCTAAACACAAGGATAGGGATACAAACGTTGGTGGAACAGTATCATTGGGAAACAGGCATTAATATTCCTGTAATAATCTGTACAGTTCATAAAAGATTTATTTTGGTGTTTCTAAATTAGTGAGTCATGTGTTCACTTTTGAGGCAGGGAGTTGGAAAATTTCCAGGCTCAGTGCACCCACCACAGGAGAACGTGCTTGCAAAGACAGGATTTTTTTCTACAGCAGCAGAGGGTAACTGGATGTGGGCCCAATTCACTAGGAAGAGATTGGAGTCAGCCACAAGAGCAGTTGGGTGCCAAGTCAAAGCCGTTTAAAAGGCCTGTCTCTGTGTTTTCGATCTTCATCTCAGTTACAATAAACCAATGAGAGGTAGAACAGTGGTCTAGCCTTCACTCCCACATTCCCTACACATTCCCCATGCCACTAATGTCCCTACACCCACTCATGGGCCCTGATACTTTCAATGCCAACCTTTGGCACTTCCATGTCCATTCACCCACTATGCACTCTATAATGATTCAGTGAAATCTATAGTATTGATAGTATGCGTGAGAAAGCTTCTGGTTTTGGAGAAGAAAAGCAACTCATTCAAAGGAATTGCTTTTACTACAACTCTATGTAAATCTCAAATTATCCAGATTGTTTAAGGTATCAACACTAGAAACTGTAAGTGCATGAAACCTCTTTCTCTTCTGCAAATACACATTGCACAATTGACAAATCAGAGAGAAAATGCTGTCAATCAAGTAATGTTTTCCTTGGGGTGGAGAGAAACCAGTACCTAGGCTTTCAGTCAAGATTCTTCTCAATTCTGACCTCGTTGAGACCTCTCTCTCAAAACAACTTGGAGATTGAAAATCTGCCCTGAGTTAGACTAGCTGCTCATGCCTTTGTTTTCAGGTGTGAAGTGCAAAACATACATTTCAATAGCTATTGATCTGGCCACCTCGAAACTTGACGGTAACCAACCCAGGTGGGAGGTCAGGCAGAACTTATTGCAGATCACATGGTTCTCTTAATTCTTTTATTCATCTTGTATTAAAGAAATGGTCCAAGCGATAATCTTATAAAACATTCATTCACAATAATTGGATACCAATAGGTTGGACTGGAAAGTGTTAAAATAACCTGGACGTGACAAAGGTATGCAGACTGCCCACTTTGGTTAACTGATTTACAAGACTTTAAAAGAGTAGCAACATAAAACAAATTTTGTAGTGAGCAATCTAACATTAAACTTTATTGCTCCTTAGTTTATAAACATCTAGGCATGCAATACTGGCAGCAGGAATAGGTCAGTTGAAGACTTTTATTGACTAAGCCCAGAGCCATTCTGTGCTGAGGAAATAGAATCAGACATTCCAAATAGAAAGAGAAAGAAAGAATCTGGTTTTCTGTAAACAAGACTATTTGGTGTGGGCAACAATAGTGGATACTTGCATTGACATAGAACCTTCAACATAATAAAACATTGTAAGCAGGGGAGACGACAGCCTAGTGGCATTATCGCTGGACTGTTAATCCAGAGAACCAGATAACATGCGGATTCGTATCCTGCCACGGCAGATGGTGGAATTTGAGTTCAATAAATATCTGGAATTAAGAATCTATTGATAATCATGAATCCATTGCTGATTGTCAGAGGAAAAACCCATCTGGTTCACTGATGTCCTTTAGGGAAGGAAACTGCCATCCTTACCTGGTCTGGCCTACGCGTGGCTCCAGACCCACAGCAATGTGGTTGACTCTTAGCTGCCCTCTGGGCAATTAGGGCTGGGCAATAAATGCTGCTTGGCCAGTGACGCCCTCATCCCATGAATGAATAAAGAAAAAAAAATTGTATAACTAACTTTAATACCAAAGCACTTAAGGAGACAGAAGGGCAGATGACCAAAACTTGCTTAAGAAGATAGGTTGTTATAACATGAGAGAGATAAAGAGACAAAAGTTTCAGAAGAAAATTCAAGAGTTTAAGACCTAAGCAATTTATGGCAATGCCACTAATGATCAAGTGAAGAAGGTCAGCAATGTAGAAAACATCTGACTTGGTGAAGTGTAGAGGTGTCAGTACCAGGAAATCTGAGAGAGGTTACAGAGACAGGGAAAAGCAAAGCCATTGAAGTCACTGAGTTATGGGTGTGGTAGCATGAATTAAAGGTCAAATTTTACATAGAAATAACAAGGTTAACAACAACCACCATTACATCCACAAAAATTCCATGCAAATCAGACAACGACTTGTAGTATCCGCACACAACATCTGAATACAGAAATCTGAAAGTAGTTATCCAGCCTACAACGTCCCTTCATAAATATCTCAAAAATAATACTGGTCAAGAGACTCTCAGTCAAACTCTTTGATTGGCTTGCAGTTACTACCTCATTTCATAAATGTGAATAAACTAAACCGAATATATTAGGGCTTCTCCATTTGAGTATCAGCCTTTGAATTGTGTAATAAATGTAATAAATCTCAATTCCTTTCAAACAACTTGTGATGCTGAAAATTAACTTGCACAAGTGTGGAATCTCATTTATTCTTAGAGATCTTCAAAAGCAAAATTGCTTTTATTTTTCTCCTGAGTCTCACCTCTCTTAATCAGTTTTATTTCCCTTCCATTTGGTTTTCTGTGCCTGGTTTGACAATGAATTCAGTAATTGAGAAGTCCCAATTCACATACGTGCTGCTCATTTACAATTCTTCAAATTGATTGGACAGGGGACAATTTGTTTCACGTGTTCACATGGATCTCAGATGGCCAGTGGAAGACATTGTGTTATTTTAGATACTTGGCTGACAGGAATTTGTACAGCACAGAAGTACATTGGAAAAATGCAAGTGTAACCAACTTCCCAGCTGATAGTAAAACCCAGCCTGAACTTGGAAGCCACCTGACAAAGAAGCAGCGCTCTGAAAGCTTGTAATTTGAAATA